ATCTTTCCTAGGGCCTAAAACTATATTTCATCAGGAGTTAGTAAATGTATATAACATACGAACAATAACGAGGAAAGCTGAACAAACGATTGGTAGATAAATAAACAATCATGGCAAGAAATTGTCAAAGTTAAACCTGCGCCTTATTTATAACAAAATGCACATTTTCATGAAAAAATTAAAAAAAATATGTCTATAGTACTCGTCTAACGTATTGTTAAAAGTATGACACCTACTGTTTTATATATTATAGAAACTTCGTACTCAAGTTCGACATGTACCTAAAGAGCCAAACTGTGTTAGTTACAAAAATATATTTGTTAAATGCACCAACAAGGTCGAAAAAAATGAAAGCAATATATTATAAAACAAAAAGTCACATTTTTTTGTTAAAAGCACAAACAAGTTCGAAAAAGTAAAAGCAATATAATTATCCTACAAAAATAGTGGTGGTCTACCTTTCCCATCACGTACTTGAACTATTCAATATCAAAGGCGATACCGAGCATTGTGTTTAACTTGTTTGCAAAGTCATGTTCATTGATGTACTATACAAAATCATAACACCGTGGACCGTTAAACGTTTTAATATTTAAAAGCGAAATTGGTTATGTTAAAACTTATAACATCTAGTTAACCAAAAGGTATATTACAAAACATAGAAAACTATGGAAAGAATGAAATTTATGCTAATGATCGACCTTCAAAAATATATTAAATTTTATAAATCAATTCATTGTGAACATACATGTATAGCATTTATTCTGCAAACCCTGCTACATTATGAATAATATAAATACAAATACATTAAGTTATCTGTGATGTTGAAACTGTCGTTCTCACTTTAATTGACATTGTATAATATCATTTTGTTCAATGTTGACATATTTTCAAAACCGGTCTTTTTTCTCATCACACCAAAGCACAAATATTGACAGTTGTTTCCCAACGAAGAATAATATTTATTCAGTTTGTGACCAGTGGCTGACCTAGCAAGAACAGATGTTCAAAGTAACTAGGTTCAGACGGTTAAAAAAGTGTTAATGACTCAACATTTTAAACTAATTTTCCCTTATTTGAACTTTAATTATACACTTTAAATAGAATTGTTCAGTTTAATTCAGTTCAAATTGTCATGAATTACTTGATGGTACAATCAATATAAAATATTGGTCATTACTTAAGAAAATAGTTACGATATAAAATTAAATTGTAACATTTCTATGCTAACGGAAAAAATTACTTTGGCGGAACAGTATTTGTTTAAATCTATTGCTTTCAGATTAGGTATACACCGCATGGGTCTACATCTTATGACAATCATCATCATCATCATCATCATCATCATCATCATAATCATAATCATAAAAGCAGCAGCAACAACAACAACAATATAATAATAATAATAATAATAATAATAATAATAATAATAATAATAATAATAAAATAATAATAAACATCGTCGTCATCGTTATCATAATCATCAACATCAAAGTTATCATTATTAACATCTTCAACATCATTATCAACATCAGCTTAAAATTTAGTCTTCTGAAAGCTTTTTTTCGAATTAATTCAATATTTGAGGAAATGATATAAAATAACACCATCAAGGATGAGCCTTATCAAATGAGCGCTTGACTAGACACAAATGATTTCACTAGAGTATATATCTAATGCATATCATCTCCCTGACTATATGTATTGTCAAGCGATCAAATGCAAATAACTTCCTTTTATTTCTGACTCAACAAAAAGGTTAAATGCGTCATACATAGCTAAACATGCAATGTCCTCTTTAGAGAATCATAAACAACAGACAGCACAAGATGGCAAAACACAACATGCATTCCTACGTAGTTTTTGACAATGAAAACTTTCATGAATTACCATACGTACATGAAAGCAAGACAAAGACGTGATTCTAGTCAAACGTAAAAGTCAATTTAAAGAAAACACTTAAAATTGTTTGATATTTTTTTACAGAAAATTCTTAATATTAGTTTTGCAACAGCCTACTCGAACAAACCTTACCAATCATCAACGTGATTGATAGATCCATATTTTGACCTTTAATTTGAATATCAATAGATTTAACCACAAACATGGACATGTGCTCTTATGTTGACAAATATGTTGTGGTGAAATTTTTATTATGTCCACTAGTCTGATAATTAGAATAAGACGGGTTAGGGTTCTGTGCATTGACAACAACACCCTAAAAGTGCATGTATTGATCATTTTTATTATATGTGTTAAAAAGCCTTTTCAATCTGTATGTAGGCTTAAATATTGAATACTGCTTAAGCCGGTGCTACGGGGCGTGACCGGTAACTTGCCATTTCCAGTACCTTCATTAAACAGTCTCAATCAAACCGAGTCTGCAACATTTTCAACTTTGTCGTATTGGGCGTTCTTTTGGGATTTCGTTTTTCTCTATTTTTATATTTAAAATATTTTTTTACTAAATTGTGACCAGGAGACATTTACAATTAATTTTCTAAATATATATACTTACGCATATTTTACATGCAACAGTGTCAAATTAAACCCAACATATTAACAAAATAGCTGCCATAGATAGAGTTACTTATTAATTATGTAGTTAAAGTCTCGTTCAAACAAGTTCATCAACAACTTTGCTTTGGTATGTTTACATTGTCTTCATTAATTATTTACTAGGGCTCCCGTTCAGACAAGTAGATCAACACATTTTCATATATAAACACCTTATATGAATACAGAAGGTGAATTAACGTCACCTTTGCAGACGACAAACCTTGTCATATCTGGCTGTCTATCAAAACGAAATAGAAAAATATAAGTTAGTATTAAAGCTAGACATCATAAATCTCTTGTCTACAGTCCGACAGTAGTGAAAATAAATCTGAAGAGAATTACAAGACAGCGAAACAATAATGAAACGCCATATGAAATATTTTTGTTATATTATGATAGGCAATCATCATCATCATCATCATCATCATCATCATCATCATCATCAATCATCATCATCATCAACTACAACAACATGAACATCATCATCATCATCATCAACAATATCATCATCATCATCATCATCATCATTATCAACACCATCATCAATCATCATCATCAACAACAACAATATCATCATCATAATCAACAACAACATCATTATCATCAACACCATCATCTAATCATTATCATAATAATCATCACCATCGTCATCATCATGATTTAAGGATAAGTAACAATAGGACAACAACAACATCGAATCAAGTATATTTTCTTCTACGGTTTGTACAGCTATACGCATGTACTTAATAAGTTGTTTGAATTTCTCCTATGTTTAACATATACGCATGATTTCATTCTAATGTATGTTGATGCAAATGTCTTGTATATGAAATGACTCAGTATACTCTTAACCATTATCAGTGGGTTTAAATGTTTGCTATGATGTAGTTAATTATTATCAACTACCACGTTAGGTTTGTACTTTACTCTTGCTTACATTTATGACGACTTGTTTGTGCCAGCAGTATAGATCCGAGCAAACTTGCACATCCATGTAACATGGCCTGACTGTTAAGAAATAAAACCTCAGTTTGAGCATTTTCTCTTTACAACATCACTATTATTGACCATGGACAGTTCCAACTTCTAGATAGGACAATCCAACTTTAGCATGGTGAGAGTTAAAGAATGATTGATATGTAGTAACTATAAGGTAATTCCCATTGGTACAATACAGTTTCCGAGTGTCTTCACCTTTAACCCATTGAATTTGTGTAATGGACATTCCCATTGAAAGTTAAAGGATTTTGAATATCAAAATACAAATATTGAACGACCAAAATCATAGAGCCTGGTCAAACTGCATGGATATTCTGGTCTTTAAGTGGTAACAAAGGCCAGTCGATTTTAGTTTTTAGTCAATAGATTAAAGATGAATCATCAACATACTAAAGGGACACTACAATCTTGACACATTGATTACAATAAACAAAAATACATTTGACCTTCTTTACCCATTCATTACGTTTTTCTGAAGTGACAAAAATGTTTCAAGACTACTTGTACTTTAAAATGACACTGAACATTTTAAGAATACACCCGACTGTTTGAAATTCGGTTTTGGGTGACAAATTTATTAGTAAATCTACAATGTAAATAAACGAATTCCACGATGTCGAAATTTAATCATACAAACTGGTAAATTGACAGTGATTACTTTAGTGCAAGCATGTATTTTTAACTTATCAGTTATAAATTTAAAATGTCAAACATATCGTGGGTTATAAGACAGATAAAAACTCACTTTTGTTATAATATATGTGTTTTAAATAGCTCGTACACCTACGTTGGCTACATTTGTGGGGTAAGATAAATGTCACACGCCCATTAAAGTACAACCATATTTCTATTTTCTGTTTTGGGAAATCTTATCACGAACAATTTAGATTGTAAAAATATTGTCGTTAAATCGATTGACGCATTGCTCATTGATTGAATATTTTACAAGTGAGTTATATACAGTACTAGGCGTTTCTTGAATAGTATTAACTATTAATGAACTAAGTCAACTATAATCTATTACGGTTGGCAAAAACCTTTTCCCCCGAAAACACACATACAGAAAATCCCATTTCTTTTCATGTACATGTGGCATGAGTGCAATTAAATTACTTTTATAGTACTGGTAAAACGGGTCATTTAATGAATTCAAACTAAATATTTAATTTATTAAAGTTATTTAAATAATTATATTGTAATGCATCTTAGCTATCAATCATGTTATATTAATATACAAATATTTAGTTTAAACATATTTAGTCTCCGAGTATATACATATCAACACAATACGATTATAAAACAAGTCAAATCATAATTATACATGTTTCAAAGGAAAGGTTTAGAACGGAAGACATAGTCTTATAAAAAATATTCTCCTCCAAATATTTGAATTATATATTATATACATGTATAAACATCATTATAAAGCTCAAAATACATACATTTTCCCATGGCTATTATTCCAGTATTATCATTTAAAATCGAAACACTTTTTCAACAAATGCACGCGCATTAACGTTTATGATTTTGTAATCCTTATTAAATCCTATCAAATATTTTCCAATATTAGATACCCAAACACGTCAATATCCTTTAATACGCTTTATAGTTTTGTCACGGTTTATACGCAACTTTCGCTTTTCTCCTTTTATATCAAACGTAACCTTATATAAATTGACCTTGATGAAATACTGGTTTTACTACATGTAGTCCCCGTAGCTTTACCTGTATCTGCTTGTATTTTATCACATTTTATATATAGCACATATATGCAACACCATGAATAACTTCACATTACGCCAGAGGTCTATTTGACAATGTAATAAAGTACAAAACCGCATTACAGCTTATATCTAGTATAGGCGTATTGATCGCTGCATTTATTACATACCTTTTTTTTGCTTATAAATGACTTGGTAGTTGATACAAGATTCAACCATCAATGAATGTTTGGTCGTACTCCTAATTTTAAATAACGCCGTAGTTAATGATTTAACTAGAGGGACGCACATTTGAGATTGTAAGTAAATTGTGCTTATTGTTTAATGTTATGAAACAACATAAATTGTTCTCTTTACACACATTTGAAATTCACTAGTACTGATTCGTTTATTTCTTGAGCAAAAAGTCATTATATACAGTAACAACTTCTTTTTTTAAAATTTAAACAAATTTAATAGGGTTGAAAAACAGTTCATTTCATGCGAACAAATGAAAAGATTTCCGACATTGTTAGAGTAATAAAATGCGAACGATTGTTATGTTTTATGAATTTCTAACGAAAAGTAGTCATACAGTACACAATTGGTTTCGGAAGTCATGTAACAAAACTGGCAAGTATTTAAGAACTAAATTTCGATTTTATCAGATAGATAATTACAATTTTCTCCATATGTAATAAAAACAAAAATGATTCATGTAACAATGTACAATTTTCCTAACACTGGCCATTACCTATAGAGAACATCCTTTTCCATGTCTTAGAATTCCCTTAAACCTTTATCCGTTATTCTTTTCTAAAGATATAAGTATAACAGTTTAGTCCGTTTTTTGTTAAACGAAGTTTCAGTCTAGATGTTCATGTATAGTATTTACAAACGAAAAGACTTAGGACGAAGAGTTAACCATTTTAAGAGAACATCAAGAAAACATAGAAGTTCTATTTAATTTATCAGTCATTGTACTAGTTCCGTGCCTTTTCCCTAAGCCTTCAACTAAATATTTGCTTGTAAATCTTTATATTTTAACACCTTTAAGCTAATTTTAAAGGATTTGGGTAACGGGATTTTATCATTTGTATTGACATTTAACTTGGATGACCTTCCAAAAATCATCACACTAAGATATCTACATAATATAAACATTCATTCTAAACCTGCTGGAACCGAAAGGGCGCCTTTGAATAGAGAAAATAGAGCCAATGCAGCAAGCACATCCGTGCAGTCTGACTGTTCTTTATAATAATGGTAGCTCAATTTGTTTTTCATATTGAAATTCCTAAAACTTTAAATGGACTACTCCAAACTCAAAGAAGGACGAATCCATCCAACAAATTCAGCAGGTAAAGGGTTAATGAAACTATTACATATAATCATGATGCAGTTGTTTGGTTGTTACAACTTGCATTTCATTGTTACCAAGATCAACTCGAGGGTATATAAATATATACCAATCATCAAGTCATTCACATGTGGATGCACATAAAAAGATAAAAAATCTAATAAAGGCTTGACTCATATTCAATTTTAAGATAAATTATTAAATCTTAAAAAGTTACGTGAAAATTTATTTATTGCGTGGGTGCTATAAAACGAGCAAGTTAACAGGATGTGTCATATTAAACACTTGCATGATTTAGATGAAAACGATCGCTGCTGTATATTATGGTATTCTGTTTATCTTAATGCGTAGCTTTGCAAGTTTTTAAGATTTTAAGCCGGAAGATTTCAGAAAATATATTGATATATTTGAAGGTATATATAGGCTTATTATGAAATAATGCAGTTTATCATGCACTTTCGTATGTAACATGTGTATAAAGTATTTTCTATATTTAGTTTAATTAATCCTTATTTATTTTAGTTTGATTGTGTTGGAAGCTATTAGCTTACTAAAACACTCTCGAATACGTTGCTGGAACCAGCCAGTACTAAGCAATGAGTGTAAAATGTCTTACTCACGGAAACAACGGTATGCTCCTGGCAGGGTTTGAACCCACACGGCCAGCAATCTATTTCATAATATAAGCTGAAAAAAGCTATATACATGTATATGTTTGTTCTTTCCGGGTCGAGTTTATTTGATTTTACAATGTACATGCAAGTAATATTTCAGTTCGTTCTATAGTTCAATAGACATGATAGATTAAGCAGGGATATCAGCTCGCCGTCTGCACGTATCATCAAACGTTCCGATGCAAATTGCCTCATCTCTTCATTTCAATAAACTCTATAAAACTCGAGATTGTATCGTTTAATCAAATTCGAGCATTCAAATGAAAGAAACAAATTATACGAAACAGTTTTGATAGCCTTCAATCTGGGTGATAGAAAATGTCAAGCGAAATTCAATTGAGGCACATCTCCTTTTATATATAAAACATAATTGAGTAATAATGGATCTATTTATTTGAAGTGTAACATAAAGGGTCGTCAACACTGCATATCAAAGTCTGAAAGACTAAGATCGAGCCAGACTTGAACATAGATTAACAGCAAGCTTAAAACTGGTCATGTCTTTATCAAATACCCTGCCTCATCAATGAAATAAATGAAAAATGCTGTAATATCGCATGAATGTTTCGGACACAAACAAATGTTATTTTTTAAATAAAAGGATGAAGAGCCTTGGAGGATCAACCTGCAAAGAGTTTTTTTTCAAAATGTAGTTTTAGCAATATATTAGATCTATGTACATTATTTAGCTATGAACGTGTTACCATAACAAGTAATCATAAGTTATAGTTAATACAATAAGAAACAGTATATCAAATTATGAAAATAGAACAGAAGTAAATGACTATAATAAAGAATCAAATAAAACCCATAGCGGTCTTGAATAATTGATGAAAAAGGCACAAAGTGGTAATAATGAATTCAAGCTCCTGCCAATTTTTATAATAATGACAACCTTTTCGAACACTTAACTTGGAAATGACCATTTCCTATACCACATAAAAGCGCTTAATTTGATGTATGAAGTAATCTGTTTCAAGATAATCAATACATTCAATCACAAATACGCATGAAATGGCTTATCACTGATCAAATAATGTAATGTATGCTACGAAAGTGTTATGTATATACGGCAAAAATCATTTTTCATAGAGAGAAATAAGTAGCTGATATCTTTGTTCAAAGCTTTGATTAGATAAATAAAATATCCTACTGAAGTACAATTGCATTTATAGCTAACAGTGTGTCTTGAGTTTTCGTTACAGATAGCGAAATATAAAAAGGAATTTTATAGGTACTGGAATATATTCAGTAAATCAACAAACACTTAAATGCTAAATATGTCCTGCATTGAATAAGAATCATTTCTATTGAAACGTTATTCATTTTGAGCAGGTTTTGATAAAATAATTTTATCTTTATCATGGCATAATTGTTTATACATAAAACATTGAATGACAAGTATAGCAAGTATATAACTATTATTTTCAGCGTAAACTAAGTAAATGGTCATGCAACGTATAACACAAATATTAATTAATATATCAAAATTTATGTCGGCACCACAGCACAACTCACGGCGCACACGTCCACAGCTTAACAGTTGATTTTACCTTCGACCAAGCTAAAAATAGCGCATGCGTTTGTATTAAAGTACATCCGTGTATGAAAACACAATACTTTGTACAAAAAACTCAATATTTCATTAAATGTTTATTAATTTGAAACTATTATATTTTCTATGTAAACATAATTTAAAAAACTGATACAACTGCTATATCGCTAATAAATGTTGAAAGTTAAACAAATTAAACTTCAACACATACGTTTATTACAATAGTTCTAAACTAGATCCTCGCATCACAAACTGTCTATAACACACATGTATATTCCATGTTAAATTAAAGTTCACCAATGCCTTAAACCGTGTTATTGATAAATTGATAAAACCATACTGAATTCCAGAATTCGATGTATTACTTAAATCTTAGTTAAAATATTCTAACGCGTTTATTTTTCTTATATGAACATTATATAAACAGACCAAACGACCTTGGTAAGTAAACAGTAATAGTATATATACCACATATGTCAATCTCTATAATAATCACGTACAAATAACGAGTAAATAAAAAAAAACAAAACTCGGTGCATGTCGTCTGCGCACGCTACTGTCGTCTGCTCTGCAAGGTGTTTAAATCCGTCTGCAATAATTGAAATATCTATATGCGTTAAATGATTAGAACTATTTGAACATCATTCTTGCTATTCACCACTCTCGTAAGGTGATTTTAGGGTCTCATAAAACAATCATACTTTACGTGAAGATATGTCACAACCTTATAATACCGTAGCAACCATTTCAGGCCAACCGCAGATCAAAGACTTTCGACAGAAGTTATGACAATGTTTTCAATTGATTCAGATGTAAATGAAGTAATAAATGCAACATAGCGATGAAATCGAATTTTTATCGAGTTCAAATGATTTAAAAATTGAACTTATCAAGTTATGTTAATGACCTGTTGATAAAGGTTTTTAAAGGTCAATGTTTAAAGCGATTCTTTGTCTCGCAATAACACTATGGTCGTGACAATTTAAAGAAGGCATGGAATTCTAATAACACACAACTGTATGTGAACAGATTGAGGTACACAACAGATTCACTCTAGAGATAATGTGAATTTTATTCTTTTATACAAAATATAGGCCTATCCTGCATCGTGTGTCAAATCAAACATACTAAACACTATACCAATATTTCATTATTTTGTAGAAAGCGAATAATATACCATTATGATAAGACTTGGTAACACGTCGACCTTAAAGTGACTTTATGCTTATTTTGTCATTGTCAAGTTCAGCTGAATTGACCAAAATTTGAAAAGATTGACCATCATGGTGATTAACAAACAGTTGCTGATGGAAATTTATAGAAATTTTCTTAGTTCATGAGAGTTTTGTTTATCGTTCATGCAAAGAAAATATAAAATTATGGCTGAATGTAAACTTATTTTGACTTTCACT